GTAGAGTGCTGTGGCATCACAGCTCACAGCAACTTCCAACTCCTGGGCTCAAGCAATTCTCCTGCCTCTGCCTCCCAAGTAGCTGGGACTATAGGTGCCTGCCACAACACCTGGCTGTTTTTAGGTTGCAGCTGTTATTGTTGTTTGGCGGGCGCAGGCTGGATTCGAACCCACTAGCTCAGGTGTATGTGGCTGGCGCCTTAGCCACTTGAGCCACAGGTGCCGAGCCCAGTATTTTTCTTTTTGAGGCAGTGTTTCACTGTGTTGCCCTTGATAGAGTGCTATGGAGTCATAGCTCACAGCAACCTCCAAATCTTGGGCTTAAGCAATTCTCTTGCCTCAGCCTCTCAAGTAGCTGGGACTACAGGCACCCGCCACAATGGTCAGCTATTTTTTGGTTGTTGTTGTCAAAATTGTTTAGCAGGCCTGGGCTAGGTTCAAACAGCTCTGGTGCATGTGGCTGGCGCCCTAACCGTTGAGCTACAGGCACTGAGCCCTACTTATGTTTTAAAAATGTTTGTATGCCAAAATTGTTATTCTGTTTCCGAGTCTGTAGTCACTCTCTCCAAAGATAATTGCAATGAACAGTTTCTTATGTATTTTCTCTGAACATAATTTAATCCATATAGCAACATGTATATACATCTGTTTAAAATTTTACGGAAAGGAAGCATGCAGTAATACTCGCTATACTCAACTTCTTTTTTCTTTTCCTTTCCTTTTCTTTTCTCTTCTCCTCTGCTTTTCTTTCTGACAAGGTCCTACTTTGTTGGCTGGGCTAGAGTGCAGTGATGTCATCATAGCACACTGCAACTTCAGACGCCTGGGCTCAAGCGATCCTCTTGCTTCTGCTTTCCAAGTAGCTGGGATTACAGGTGTGTGCCACTACACCCAGCTAATTTTTTTTTTTTTTTTAAAGACAGGGTCTTACTTTGTCACCCTCAATAGAGTGCTGTGGTGTCACAGCTCACAGCAACCACCAGCTCTTGGGCTTAGGTGATTCTCTTGCCTCAGCCTCTGAGTACCTGGGACTACAGGTGCCTGCCACAACACCTGGCTATTTTTTTGTTGCAGTTTGGCCGGGGCCGGGTTTTAACCCACCATCCTCAGTATATGGGGCTGGCACCCTACTCACTGAGCCACAGGCACCACCCCACCCACCTAATTTAAAAAAAATTACTATTATCATTTTTTTGAGACAGAGTCTTATTGTATCACCCTTGGTAGAGTGTCCTTTTGTCACAGCTCACAGCAATCTCAGACTCTTGGGCTTAAGCAATTCTCTTGTCTCAGCCTCCCAAGTAGCTGGGAATACAGGCACCTGCCACAACTTTGGTGTATGAGGCAGGTACCGTAACTACTGTACTAGGGGTACTGAGCCTTAAAAATTATTTTATAGAGATGGGTTCTCATTATGTTGCTTAGACTGGTTTCATACTCCTGGCCTCAAGTGATCCTCCCACCTCAGCCTCCTGAATTGCTAGGATTACATGTATGAGCCACTGCTCCCAGCCTTCCTTCTTGATCTCTTAATCCTGACTTAATTCCTCATTTGCATTACTTGCCTGGCCCTGTAGACATAGGAGTTGGAAAGGTCTGCCTTAGGGATTTTAGTGGTGATAAGTGGACCTTAGGGAGGAGAAACTTGAGCATTAGAGGCTGGATAAAAGAGAAAACCTCACATATATAAGTATTGTGTCTTTTGACAAGATTTTATTAATTTAGTTAGATTATTTCTGCTGATGTCATTTTACAACCATCCTCCTTTGTCACTGTCAAGGTTCCAGTTATGTCTTGCTTGGA